TGCGGAGTTTTCACCTCGGAATGACACCAAACCTCGGTTTATTCCCAAGACCGAGAAGGAGTGAAAATACACCGTCTTCATCTGAGAGCGATTTGCTTTTCCTCTATTCATTTGAAATGTGATCTGTGTGGCGTAGCTGGATAAGTCCATGGTGCGCCTGAGGCAGCTGAAGCGTCAGCTGGAAGAAGTGGAGGAGGAGAACTCGCGCTCCAACGCGCAGAAGAGGAAGCTGCAGCGAGAACTGGAGGAGCTGACGGAAAACAGCCAAAGCAGGATGCGCGAGATCACCACCCTGCGCAACCAGCTCAGGTAGGCGCGGCGGCCGTGCTCCCGCCATGCCTGCGCCATTTCACTTGACCATTGACCATCATTTTACTTTTGCTTTGCTCTGTTCCGTTGCGTCCCTTTGTGTTCACCTAACACTGTCCCATCTGTGCCCATCTGTCCACGTCACACCAAAACTCAGCGTCCCTGAATGGAGACCAGAGCAGTAGGTCATTGTGTTTTTTGCTCTTCGTCTTTTTTTCTGTCCGTGTCTAAACCTGTGTGTGTGCGTGCGTGCTTGTGTGTGTGTGTGTGTGTGTGTGTGTGTGTGTGTGTGTGTGTGTGCGTGCGTACGTGTGTCTGTCTGTATGTGTGCATGTGTGTAAACCATGTTTTTTCACCGTTTGTGGATTTAATGTATTTATTTTATCCCATTGGCATATACTTTTTTTTTTTATTTGGGCGGGGGTGGGCAAACGTTTGTGCAGTGGGATACATTATAGTCCAATGTTGTGTACTTTTAGTTCGTTATTGGGACAAAAAGCTTTTAACTGACTCCCGAGACGTTTTGGGCTTATATTGATGACGTGCCGTACGCAGCCACATGCCGTACTAATTAAGTCGATTGTGCAGACGTACTCCGTTGCCGCTGACGATGCGCGGACGGCGAGCTCTGGTGGACGAGTACTCGTTGGACAACTCGGATTCGGAGGAGCCGCCCGCCTCGCCCACGCCCTCCCTGGGAACGCCCCGAACGCCGACCCCGTCCTCGGAGCACAGCCTGGACCCGAACCCGCCGCCCTACAGCGTCAACAACCTACACCAATGATGTACCACACGTACACACGCAACACTAGTTTAGGATATAGTCAATGAATTGCTCAAGGAAGTTGCTTTTTTTTTCCCTTTCAACAAGTGCAAACAAAAGAGATTTTACAATTTTTTTTTTTTTTTTACCTTGCAATGCAACATGTAACATTCGAAATGACATCATGATGCAGTTTCAACTTTCACATTTGAATCGGCTGCACAGCGTAAAGGTGTAGAACTAGACAACCCTTACACTGTATCATGGGTGGGCAACCTTTTGCTATCCGGGGCCAAATTGAAATTATGAAGGGGAAAAAAAAATTGACTGCATTCCATCAAATAGTAGCCGCCCTTCTAATAAAAGCCTCCCTCAATTTAGATGCCTCACTTTTTCATCTTGATTTAAAAAAAAAAAAAAGCTTGTATCGATGGCGTTGTAATGAATTTGGCTGCTGTTGCTAACCAAAAGCGCAGCCCCTACAGTGGGGTGGAATAAATCAACACCGCTGTTGTAGTGACTCCACAATGTTGTGGGCGTCCCCCTACCCTGTCAGAAAAGGGTGCTCGATGTGCACCTTGAAGGGTCCAATGCCTTGTCAGTGGAGCGCTAAACTCCTTTTGCGCTCCTTGAACAGGCTGCCTATTGGGACCCTTAAAACGGAGACCGTTTCCAGGCAAATCATGTACCTTAGGGTACAATTGGGACACAGGTGCATCGGGTTCCGGGGAACTAAAACACACTCAAACCATGATGACCCGATGACGAAATATGTTCAGCATCGCGTACTGCAATGCATCGTGGGAGTTAAAGAGCAGCTGAAAAGCGCACAAGCGACAGCGAACCGTCGACACTTCGTTTGAACGGCATTCGGTTGCCCATCCCCTGGTGCCGATGACTGTCGGTGCCATACATTTGGACCGAGCACTTGTTTTATACCCTTATGTGACATCAAAAAAGTAGAAACATGGTCCCTTTGCTAGTTCAGACTATTTATGTTCCTTTAAACCACAAAGAGCACTTATTTGTAGCTTGGGGTTCCGTTGCAAAGAAGAAAATTGAAGCGCTGCCTTTTTTTTCCAGACAGTGTAGGAGACCCTCCTTCTATCTCCGGGCCACTATTTATTGATTGAATTGTTTGCTTTTTTCCGGATTTGATTTGCACGCAGAGCCCGCGCGCAGCTCACCAGCCACATGTTGCCCACCCCTGATGTTCCCATGACCAAAATAAAAGGGCTGCCGCAGAGTGACAAATTAGACAATCTATTTGCGTGAGCCAGATATTTAATTCAAAGTGTAAATTTGACCGTGACGGAATACGCCGTGTGACTTTTTTTACAAGGGCCATTTGCATAGCGACCGCCCTCTGTGCTGACACGGCGGGGGAATTTGCCCGCCGGCTGCCATCCACCCGTGAACAAGTAGCTCGCAAATGCTACCTCACGCGGAAACAGGTTGTCGAATCGTTCCGCGGCGGGTGTAATTTATTTGTGTGCAAAAATCTTGAGTCATTTGAATTTCTCTTAATTTATATCAAGCTAAATATGTTGATGCTTTTTTTTACTGTACAAACATTTACTGTCTGTCACAGGGGAGGCAGTTTTCTACCCCAAGTATTTTAATCCAAAGCAAAACACTTTTTGGGGGCGGGGGTGGCGGGGGTGTTTCTGGTTTTGTTTTTAAACTGAGGAAGGCATTTTATTTGGACGGGTGTCTGAGTATTGTTTACTGCGTTACATTTGAACCGCAATGACAGCTGCTGCGTGGATGAGAAAAGGGACAAAAGGTCATAGGATAGAGTAGAAAGAGATTTGCCCTCATCCGGCGTTGCTATTGGATGAATTCCCTTCAAGATAAAACGAATATTGTAGGTTGAGTTGGAAAGACAAAAGACGAGGCAACAAGTAATACAAGTTAGGAATAACCTTTTATTGTTAACCCTGGCCATCATCCGAACTCATGTTTCTTCTTCTTGTTCCTTTTCGGGGATATTTCAGTCACATTTTTTACACTGTTTACATGCGTGTGCCCGATGGAGACATTTGGGCTGGATTCACATGACACAATTGGCACCATTGGGATTTGCGTCGTAAATGGGGAACGTGGAGCAGAGGGGACGCATTGATTCGGAATATCTAGAGCTCGGAATGATACATATCGCATTGGGTGTACAGTATGAGATATGTCTCACTTGTAATGTCCACGGAAACTGACGGTCCAATGAATGGGATGAACATGAAATGAAAATGGTGGACTTGCAGTGGCCATGCATGCAGCCTTTGACAAACGTGATGATCTCTTGTGCCACACAGAGCTCCTCATACGGCTGCTAAACTTGGAAAACAAACTTGCTCAAATCACGTCATAAAAGCCTGCCTTTTGCATCAGTGAAGCTCCAAATCGGATGAACTAGTGTCAGTGATTTTTTTTTTTTTTCTAAAATGACCTCAGGTGGATTTTTGTTCTCTCGTGATATCCGCGCGCTTCATCTTAAGCTAAATGAAATTAGCGTTAGCTTTGGACGCGAAAGGTTTGAAGATGCAGAAAGTGCTTTTTTTGCCCACGCTCAAATGTTTCTAGAATTGTTGTCAATGTTTTGACTGTGGAGAAAGTATATACACTGACCCGTCTTTATGATTACCAAAATGAAGGATGCACTGGACCAGTTCAGTAGAAGACAAGTTTGCCTTTTAATCAGAGTTGACATTAGATCTGCGCAAAGCTAGCATGAGCAATGATGGCTTTGCCTCAAATGAGAGCTACCAGACAATGAAAGGATTACATTTTAACCAATCAATGATTAACTAGTTTTTTGGGGGTTTTCTTTTTGCCTTTACACGCCACCCACAATGGATTTGATGTGTCGACTTTAAGCTTGGATGGATACGGAAAATGTCTGCCGCCTAGCCCTTTTGTGTCGAGTCCATTTTTAGGGGCTGCTTTGGCATAATTATCAAAGTACCGGTAAGTGAAAGTCCTTTGCCATTACCAATTTCAAGCGCCACGTGACGCTTGTTTGCGGCTCTTACTGCCTTCACTTTTGTCTCTGGTAATGTAAGGCGGCTGGCCTGCTCCCACTGGGTTGAGATGAGGTGAGAAGGCCAGCGTTGGCTTCCGCTCGGAGTACAATTGCGTCATTGTAAATGCAAATGCCACAGTCAAATCACGTGGTGGTGGTTTTGTTTCGCATTGCTTGTGGTGTGTAAAGGCAAAATCATTAAACGTGTGTTACGCTAATTGCTACGCTAACAACAGGCTCGCAACGAATCATAGCTGCCAGGATTGCGTTTTAAACCAATCAATGACTTGTTAGGATATTTGTCTTTGCGCATCACCACAACGGATCAAAACCAACAAACAATATTGATGGTTTATTGACGATTAGGCGGTTTGGCAAAGATACGATATGAAGCCATTTTACATTTCGTTTTTTGTCTTGCGCAAATGCCAAGACGATTGTGTTGAGATCGGGTGACTGCAATATTCCTTTTATTTGCTTTCAAAATGTCCACAATTGCATTTTTACAGTAACCATAAATGCTGAATGTTTTATTTCATAGTCCCTCGTGATGGTGTGGAAAAACAAAACGATCAAAACTCTCGGCTCTCCAGATAGCTGGACCTAATTGTAAAACACACACCAATGAGTTTTCGATTTGTGTGTTTTTAAGTGCTTTTTCTGGCAATATGCAAATGACTTGTGTGTTGTGTAACCGCTGCACCTTGCACACCAGCAGCGGGTAGAATTGTCCATATCAGCATCGACTGTCCGTGAACACGCGTGCGTTCACGAGCCCCAAAGTTGAATTGTGGAACGCCACAAAGCTCTGTTCGGTCGAGGCAAGCTGATTCTCAAAGGTGTTTTGCTTCTACTTTTCTCACTTATGGTTTGCTCATGGCTACTGTGCAACTTGAAACATTGGTTTGGTTTTGTTTGTTAATGATGCTGTAAAAAAAAAAGACATCTGTCCGGGGTCCACTTTTAATATATGTTGTTGGTTTTCACTTTGCTGCATCGGTGTGCTTTATTTCACACGCGCACAAAACAAAAGTACTGAATGGATCATTTATTTGATCCGCCAGTTCCATTTTTTGTTCTCAGTATTTTTTATGGGGTGTAAACACCATGGTAATAAACCGTGTTAAAAGCTGCACATTCGGGTGACTCGCTGTCAATTAGGATGTCGGTGAACGTCAATTGGTCTTCGTGAGGCGGCGTCGCGAAGTGGCCAAGTGAGGCTTCCAGAGGCGGGGCCCAAAAAGACTGAGCCACGCCCCCCGTTGACATCATCCTGTGTTGGCAGCTGGACTGCACGGGAACTGGTTCGGGCATGGCGTAGTCTTCGTCTTTGGGTAAATCCGTTACGATTGGTCCGCCATCGCCGCGGACACCGCATCCGCTGTCTATGTCGTCGCTTTCCGAAAAGTGACCCGTGTGATGAATGGCACCGTCGTCCACAGAGAACAGATCCATAATGTCCTCCCAGTCGCTCTCGGCGATATCGGCCAAGTTGCGAGGGTCACCGGGGATGTCGACGAACATTTGCGCGGCGTCAAAGGACAACGGCGAAAGCGGTGGCATCAAGGAGGGAGAGATGGGGGCGGTGTCTTCAGAATCGTCCTTAAGGAAGATCGTTTCATCTGCGGGACATGTTGAGGACTTGTGTCGTTCCTTTGTCCCGCTTTCAACTTCCCGGGCGTCTTTCTGGTTGCGTCCGTCCAAATGGTCACATGACTGCTCAGGCGTTGACTCCGCCTCCTTCAAGTAGAGAGTGGACGCGAGGCGGCGATTAGCCGCCTCGATGTCAGCAAACTTCCTGTTTGCAAGTGAAAGGACATGTCAAAACACCTCAAAACAATGCCCTCGCTTAAATGTACGCCGTGCCCCCATTTGTTGCTGGGTGAATCATCGACTTTTGACAAAACTCCCTCACAAACATTCCGAACCCCAATTAACTTCAGAGCGACCTGTAATCAGTTGCTGTGACCCCATTAGTTTCAGCATGAGGCATCCACTTCCGATAAACACCTCATGCCTCAAATTCGTCATTGGGTGTGTCATCAACGCCTTCCTCAAATAAACACCTTGCCCCAATTGACCAGCGCACGGCAGCCTAAATAATGAATGCCTCCCTCACATGAAATGCTCGTGTTAAATTAAAGGCCTTCCCGTTTGGAGCGCCTGAGTCCGAATTGACCCCTGATAGCGTGCGTTGAAAGAAAGCAGTGTCGAAGTCGCCCACGTCTACACACCTCTGTATCATGTTGTGCAGGAAGCGGCGGTGGTTGACCTGCCGCTTGGAGGGGCGGTTCCTGCGGGGCTTCTGGAGGGTCCTCATCATGTGACCCGCCGCCGATGTCACAAACGTGTACAGGTCCCGACCCCGAGGAGCCCCTCGCTCCGGCCCAGGCTCCAGTGGCAGCGACGAGGATGCTTGCATGCCTTGGACATCAGACCCAAGCAAACAAAGCAGGGGTGCAGTGAGAAACGGTCCTTCTGGTCATGCTTGCAGTTGGAGTTGAATTTCAAGACCGTATTTCCTGTCCCAGGGAAGGGGACAGGGGGTTGGGGTCCAAACTTTCTCACATACAGGAAACAGAGGTGCCCAAGTCCATTCCTCAAGAGAGGACTGGACATCCTTGTTTTTCTTTTTTTTCTTTTTTTTTTGGGGGGGGGG